TACTTCAGGTAACGGTTCCCAATCGTAGCGAAAAGCTCAACCACTCACCAAACACGGAGAACCCGTACCCGTCGGTCAGCATCACAGCCCTCACCTCCGGCAACAGCTCCGGGATCTCGCCGTCACCATCGCAGCAGTCGCTGAATCCTTATCCCGTTGTCATACCATCTGTTTATGAGCTAAATATCTATAAGTCTTTGGCGTCGATCGTAACCCACTGTCAGCTACTGTGGGAACTGGTGCTGACGTGCGAACCCGTGACGGTTATGGCGCCCACACCTGATGTCTGCTCGGAGACCGTCCAGTCTCTGGTGTCACTCATTTTGCCGCTAAAGTACGGCTCAGACTTCAGGCCCTTCTTCACGATCCACGACTCGGAGTTCAAGGAATACACCACTAAAACACAGTCACCGTTAGTATCACTTAATCCCATAATCCGTTAGTTTGTCCGATAGTCCAGTGGTTTGTGTGTGACTTGTGATTAGTTAACGTAGACTTACTGTATGTGTAGATTTGGTAGCAATTAGTGGTTATTATAGTCTTAATCCATATTATAGTCTTAGTCTTAATCTATTATTAATTGGTGTCAAATGTCTATCATTTAGTCCGCCTGTGATTCTTGGCGTCACGAACCCGTTCTTCGCTAAGACTCTACAGCATTGGCCACACATTATCCGTATCGGCGACTACGGCACCGGTATGTCATCGCACACCTCACAGAATGTACTGTTTATTAACAGACTTATGCCTTAATTAGCGAATAATAATCACAAAAACAAAATCAAAAAGTCTGGACTCATAAAGACGTTGGACTCGAAGACCGGGGTTTACACCAAATACAAGCCATTCCTCCAGAAAGACCGCGAAATACTCAAGAAATTAGTGAAAGGAGTGGACAGTAAGCGTCCCTCAGAGGTACAGTCGGCGCTCTTACGGCGCTTTTTCACGGAACTGACGCAGAGTTTTCTGATACCATTGGAGCGGTATTTCGCGTCACTGATGCCGCTCCAGAAGAATGTCTCGCCATTCAAGAGGACACCGATTCTGCAGCACTTCCGACCGGACGAGTTCCTCAAGTCGTTGGAGACGTCGGGCCCTCAGCTCACCTCTGGGGTCAAAGGGGACTGGCAGGGCCTGTACGCCCGGTTCCTCAGGTGTCCCAACTTTGTCTGCTGGTACGACTCGCGGCTCCGGGAGGCCAACCAGAAGCTACGGGTCCTTCACATGGAGGCCATCAGTGGCGCTAATCTCGTCGATTGGATTCGCGATAAGGCGGAGGTCGAGGTCGTGGACCTGATTCTCAGGATTAAGGATAAGCTGTCGGCCGTCGAGTCCGATGGCCTCCCATTGGACGGACAGACTGTGGAGAAGTTGAGGTCCAATTTGGTGGCGATTATCGATACACTTCCCGAAGACCTCAAAGAGATTCTTAAGAAAACATAATATTTATTGATATTATCATTGATTCGCGTATTTTTGTGTCCATTATATCATTGAATCGTTTTTTCATTTTTTATTGCTGTATATAAAAGACAATTATGTTATCATTGATTAAAAACTGAGATTAATATCGTGTTTGCGATTAATTGACTCAAATGTATGTCAACTAATTGGTGGATGTCTTGTATTTATTGAACATTCGCCCAAACGATCAAATAATGTGT